AGTGGCCTCTCTAAGTGCTTTATAGGAAGAACACAACACAAAGTTAGAAATAGGGTTTGGGGTACAGTAGGAAAGTCAACCAGTTCAATAGCAGCCCTTCTGTAGAAGCAGAGAAGCAGGTTTCGAGTCGTATTTGAGGGAGTTTAGAGAAGAGGACTCCTGGGGGAGAGAGTTCCAGGAGAAGACCCTGTCACCCCCAGAGTGTAGACAAGCTTGGGGTGGGGGCAGACGGGAGCCCAGAGTCAGAGGAACAATGGCTGTGAGGTGGGGAGCAGGATGAGTCGGACAGGTACTGAGGTGCCAAGCCACGCAGAGCCTCGTCGGCGAGCACTTCGACGCGAAACTTGACCGGAAGCCAGTGCAGGGGCTCCAGGACAGGAGTCGTGTCATCACTTGCACTTGACCTGGTCAGGATTCTGCAGTTGGGACACACAAAAACATTGGTTTAGAAACTCCAGCAAATCGAGAGGTTCCAGATACGGGAGGAGGGGAAAGTGTTGACCAGCTTTTCGGCAACAGTTGGCGACAACAACGTGATCTTGTCGCAGTTGAAATGAAGGACATTTTGAGTTCTCCATGTTTTATATCGGAGGTGCAGTTAGACCAGAGACAGCTACTCCTGTCAGGCCTAGTATGGACATGATTAGAGGATCATCAGTGCAGGAATTATCATGTTGACCATATGATCTTATTAGCTGGCCAAGTGGGACATGTCAATCAAGTATATTACTGTTCATCTCTGATTCTTCTCGTGCACAAGATTCCCTGGAAAACAAAGATGGAATTCCGGATCTGAGTCGTCAGCTGTGGCTTATTGAAGGACAGTTTTTGTACAGAAAACAACTGAAAATCCAACAGAGAATTAACGAGGACTCTCTTTCTGGGATATCCAGTGTACTCGTTAATCCCGAGACCCGACAATCTCCTCCATCTGTTTCCTGAATATTTTACTTGATTGCTTGTTCACTGGAATGGTTCGTCACTAAACCAGGCAGTTAATTTCTGGAATAATATATTTTTATTTTCCATACCGGCGCTCACTGTAATCATTCCTCACGAAACCAGTCAATGAGCACAGTTGGGGTACAAGGCTACCAAACTCCTTTTGGAATCCTGGAAAAGCAGACGCCCAACCATCGGAGCTCTCTCCCAGTCAGACACCAGGAGCCC